AAACGGAAAGTTGTTCAGGAATTTCAATTAATCGTTTCAATTGGTCAACAAATAATCACAAACTCACATTTTTTATTTAAAGAAGATTATCCTTTCCTAAATATCGATGTAAGGATACCGGGGTTATCAATTTATTATCATTAATGGAAAATGTAATTCAAATGTCAAAACTTCACAAACGATAAGATTTCTACAAAGTTCTCAATCACACGACATGTTCCGCTAATACAGTAGCTTCATCAGTTCATTGTACCAGTAACCAAATATGGTTTTTATGAGCATCTTTGAGTGCTCGTGAAGTTTTCCTTCTGGGACTTGGCATCTGATTCTATAAGTGCGCGTTCTTAGGGCCCGGGCCCTTCAGTTTTAATGAAAACCCGTTCATTCTCAACCTCTTTCCATAAAAAAAAACACGATTTTTTTTATCGCTTGGAGCGCACGAAAGGGAATCCCTATAATGTTCAAAGAATATCGTGCGTTCCTAGGGAGGATAGGGACAGGAGGTAGGTATTGGAATTTTCTTTGAACTTTTGGAGATTATATGTTGTTCGGAATACTTCCACAGGCAATGAATTCCAGAGCCTAGCCGTTCTATGGATGAAGGAGTCTTGATAAAGTGCTGTTCGACATCTTTCGAGGTTGACAACGAGAGGATGTGCTGACTGGGCTTGTCTAGTTTGTCTGATTGGTATTGCTAGTGAAGGGATGATAGCAGAGATTTCCGAAGCACATTTCCCGTGGAAGTATCGATAAAAAAGTGAAAGGTCGCCGACCTTTCTACGGTGTTCCAATGATGTCAAAGAGTGAGTGAGTGTGGCGTCACCCACCAGGCGAATGCCTGCGCCGTGAGTTCTTAGTTTCCTGGGAAGAAATGGGAATTCTGGAAGAGAACGCAGTATGGAGGGTACTATCATCTGCAAAACTGTGGATGGGGCAAGTTGTTACTCCCAACAGATCATATGAAGCAGGAATAATGTTGGTGCCAAAATTGATCCTTGTGGAACGCCGGAATTGATGCCAATGGTATCAGACGATACACCGTCCACCACCACGTGAAGCGATCTGCCTGAAAGAAAACTCGATGAGAGATGGCATAGCTGAGGTGGTAAGCCGTATGATGGTCCTTCGTGCCAAACACGGTCGAATGCTTTCGATATGTCCAACGCGACAGCTAGAGATTCCCCGTATTTTTCTATTGAAGATTGCCATAAATGGGTGACGTAGGCAAGTAGATCTCCAGTAGATCTTCGATGGCGAAAGCCGTAATGTCTATCATTGATGATTCCTGAGTTCTCCAGCTCTTTGATAAGCTCAATATTGATGGCTTTCTCCATCACTTTGGAGATTACTGATAACAGGGCAATGGGCCTGTAGTTGTTGGGCAGGTTCTTGTTCCCTTTTTTGGGGATTGGTTGGACTCTAGCTGTCTTCCAGCATGATGGAAAAATACCCGAACTGTACGAGATGGTAAACAACTTGCAGAGAATCGGTGTTAATTCTGGTGCACATTTTTTAAGGATAATGGGTGGAATTCCATCAGGACCGTTAGCCTTATTCGTTTTGAGACCAAGCAAAATTCGTCTGATAGTGCGTTGACGGAAGACGATTTCGGGCATTCGACTCTCAACGGGTGGAATGTCTGGCGGCAGTTTTCCTTGGGAATCTTAAGTAGAGTGTATTGTAGTAACGTCTAATAACGGCTCATGATGAACTTTTATAAGTCCGAAACATGTCTCCTCAATTGATTTACATCAGTAATGAAGTAGTGAAGATGACATTGAACTTTCCTCCTTCCTTCTGAAAGACATTTACATTACCACTTAAGAAAACGCGTGTTTTTGTGTAACGATGGAATTTTGCGGGACGAGATCACTCAAAACACAGTTACACAAAATGCGTTTCCTAAATAGTTACGTACTATATGTTTTTTAATTTGGATGAAAATTCTCGATTGAACGGAAGTTATGACCAGTTCTACAGGAGTTCTACGGCTATGTACAAACATTGTCGATATAAATGAAAACCTAGTAGGTGACCTAGTGCAAGGAGGTATAGTTCTCGCCTACTAACTACCTAGCTAGGATGTCATCTAGAACGACAATGGTACAAAACTTGGTAGGCAACTTGACTTCGTCCCTCACTTTGGAGTATCCGTCGAATAATAATAGTGGAAAATGGCTAATTCAAGATCAGTTTTCCCATGTGATATCGAGGAAGCAGCACAAAATGCAGTATCATCTTCGTCCATCCATATGTTCATTACGTAACTGGTGTTGAGATGAACATTTCATCACCTGTTATGTGATATTTTACCCACTGCGCAACTGATTACGTAAAGTGAGACGTTTGAAATCTTCAGTCAGTTATGAAAAGTGTCAAATCACTTGTCAAAATCAGTAAAAAAATGTTAATGTATGACTTCAAAAAATGGCGGAGGTTATAAATGTAAGTGTTGATGGTTTCGCATCCACCAAAT